CATGATAAAGCACAACTCAAGATGATCTCCTGTTGAAAGCCTTTGTGTAATGCTTCTGTTAAATTTACTATCCCCAAATTTGAGTGAATAGGCCTTGATCTTTTCAGTGATTTTTTTTTTTTATATTTATAAGAAAACTGTCAGAGGACATGTCAACAGAGATGCACTCCAGATTGTGACTTTACCTGCTGTGTAGCGACACCCAATCCTGTGTTGGCTCCACCACTTACTCCTCGCCTAACTGTTCCTGTCGTATCGTGTGCCTCCTACTGCCCGAGCACCTGTTATCCAGACTGCAGCCCTAGCTGCTGTAAGCCAAAGCCAGCTCATCCGATAGCTCCACCAATGCCACCACCCCCTCGTCCTCCTCCTATGCCACCTGCCTGTCCAACCAACTGCCCGATGTCTTGCTATCCGCAGTGTTCACAGTCATGTTGTCAACAGTCACCAGCTTATGCACAAGTTTATAAACCGTTGGCAATACCTCCTCCTATAAGGCAGTGCGCTCAAGTCGGATGTTCACAAGCTTGTTATCCCAAATGTTCATCCCAGTGTTGTGGTGCTCCCCAAATTCCCTCTGTGCAAATGCAGCCACCACCGCCTCCTCTCATTGCCCCGTCACCTGTGCCTCCGATAGTTATTCCGCTTCCACTTCCTGTCCCACAATGTCCAGCTCCTTGCCCAGCTTCCTGTCTACCATCTTGCACTCCACAGTGCTGCACAGGAGCACAGCAACAATTTCAACCTCAAACACAACCTCCTCCCATAATCATCCTGGAGCCTCCAGCCGCTCCACAGCCGTCTACGTGTCCTGCACCTTGTCCAGCATCGTGCTCCCCTCAGTGTAATCCAACTTGTTGCTCTCCATCGACAATAATGGCTTCTCCTAAGCCGCCTCAATCCCCGCCTCGCCCCCCAATACGTCCATTTCAACCACCACAGGCTTCAACTTGCCCTGCACCTTGCCCAGCATCGTGTCATCCACAATGCAGCCCAACTTGTTGCTCTCCAACTGCCATGCTGGCCCCACCTCCACCTTCATTACCATCCATCCTACCTGCTCCCTTTGGGCAGACATGTCCAGGATCATGTCCCAGTTCGTGTGCACCAAGTTGCAGCACAGACTGCTGTTGCCAGCCGCGGTATGACCCTAAAGATCTCAGGGGCTTGTTTCCACTAGACTCCTCTCCAGATTGTCCAACAACTAACGACTGATCGAACGTACGACATTAATTTTAGTTCGTTTAACTCGGTCTGTAACCTGTCTGTGGTTCGGCGAAGAAAGTTATAACCGTTGGTTTTTTCAGCTTGTGAGATTTTTTTGAGGTTGCAGTGGTGGCCACCGAATAAGCGCTAATGTAATGTGCCATTCAAGACCTCGCAAAGTTAAGAGCCTTATCGACCCAGCAGTGATTGCTCGGACGTCATTTTCGTAGGAATATTCCATGCCTAATTACCTTGAGGACGTTCTGATTACTCTTGAGTGTTTGCGTTTTATGATCGGATGAGTAACGTCGAGAAGATCACAAACGCAATGACGCAGATAGCGACAAACACTGGTCCATGAGAAGATATTGAGAAAAAGATCAATTTTGTATGGGGAAATTATCAATTGAGTATCAAAAATTAATTTTGGGGTTGTATTGGTTGCACTTGACCTTATGATTAATTGGGAAATTCGTGCCACTCTCAAAATTGGTGTTAGTTTTGACGTTTAATGAGAAACCGCTCTTATTTCCCATTTCAGTTGGATTAAATCAAAATCATTGAAACGACTTATATTCAGTATATTTAATGTATAGGGGCCATAATTTTACGTATAGGGTATTTAATATCCCTGATTTACTTCTATCACAGTCTGCTGAAACCCAACATCGACAAGCTACTTAATAGGGCACTCAAGAAACTGAATTACCTGACGACCCTTTGGATGGACTCCTGGGGGAAAATGCCGGGCGCGTTTATATTTTTGTTTATTTTTTTAGTATGTATAATCTTCGCGTAAATAAACTTAATGGGGGCACGGAATGTTTGGTTGTTTATTTGCTAGTTTTTGCTCATTTTCTTTTTTTCTCCCGAAGCATCATAGTTTCGCACAGCTCAATGTACCAAATGCTTCGAGATGGTCGGTCTTAATACCAAAATGTGTTTTATCAGTCGCCTGCTCATTCGATTTACCAGATGCTACGAAAGTTTTGTCTATCTTGTTCTGGAAATCACGGCCACTCTGGAAAAAAACTTGAGAAAACATGATGTTTTTTCGAGCACTTCACGCAAGTTTTGTTCAAGAAACGAAAAGATATATCATACTAGCAATGTTAACAGAGTCGCCAAGACAAAAAACACAAGATTACGCTGGGTCGGACGTATTTCTGGAAATGATACTGTTTTCCTTTTTTGCTTTGTTTTTCTCTTGTTTTACAACTATGAGTAAAGAGCTCTAGCTAAAAGACACAAAGCAATTCTCTCTGAAATATAGGCATCATCATCACCTTGATCTTCAAACATCTTTCTTATCATTGCATTATGAGGGTCGACCTTTCCTAAGACATGTAGAACTTTGGACCAGTCATGGATTCTCAACAAGGCATCAACTGCCAGAGCTTCTACTTTCAAGTTCGGGTGAAAACCATCCACAGGCACAATTAACTCGTGCACTCGACCACCTTTCCTCTCTCCCATTCCA